GCAAATGCATTTTGTCATATGAGCGCACGGACACATTAAACATTTTCAATAGGTAGGGGATTTTGAATTATTCCCGGGTGGCGGCCGAAGCCTACTGTTATCGATTTTGGACCACAAAGGGATCTTTAACGTGCGCAACTTGCATATTTGACCTCGAAGATTATTCGCCCTTGTCCGAGAATGCTAGGTGTAGATTTTCCCTCCCAGAAGATCAAGGGTGTGGCTGTAAGACAGCCGTAAGAAAAAGTCAAGGAGTAGCAGTAGAAAGGCTGCAGAAAAAGACAGGAGACCAGAGAAGGGGGCAAATTAGGTGAGGGGGTAGAAAGTGGGGACGAAAGCAGACGGCAGAACATTAATGTTAGAGGGCAGGAAATGATGTGAAAGGAGAACATTTTAGAGAAGAAATTTTCCGCCGCTATCCGGATTCGAACTTGGTACTTATTGCATGAAAGGTGAACACCTTAACCTCTATGGGAGGAGAGCCCCCCCCCCCCCCCCCTCTTTCTCTCTCTCTCTCTCTCTCTCTCTCTCTCTCTATCTCTCTCTCACACTTGCATGTCATCTACCAATCGTTTACCGCGAATTCATTCCCCCTTCCTGCCCACTACAAGTAGTGGTTGGTTGGCGAGTGCTGTGGTGTGGTTTACTATTTCATATCGTATCAAACATTTATCGTACTTATCTCTCCTTTTTTTTCTGTCTGTGTATATTACTCTCAAGTAACACCTCTAATCTTCGGCACTTATTATATGACCCTACTGTGTTGCAAGCGCCGTAAAACTCTTACTAAAACTAAAACGTATCTGTACTCCTTCTATCCTGTGTATGTTACTCTCTAGTAACACCCCTGATATTTGGCACTTAAATACATATATATGTATGTATGACTTATTTGTATAGAAAGTGCAGTAAAACTCCTACTAGAACTAAACTCACATGGCACAGCACAGGACGATGTTCCCCATCAGTGACATCACCAAGACAACTGACAAAGCTGCTACAACGTGCACTCCTGGGGAGAAAAGAAACGGGACAGTTTGTTTGTTTGTTTTATTATTTAATTATAGTAAAGGGTTTTTCGGCACTCGCAACTGCATAAGGTCATATGAGCGCCAAGGGGTGGGTGTCAACAGAGAAGTCTTTACAGGGAATCCGACTTATTCTGCTCACCTCTCTAGCTTCAACTATCAAGGCACCTCGGAAATAGCAGGTCACAAGAGTGTGACAAACATACAAAAGAAGTAGAGGAAAATGACAATAGTAAGGATTAGGAAAGAAAAAGCAGCAGTTCT